GTGCCGCTCGGGTGGGGGGCGCGCGTCCAACAGGTTGGTGGGCAGGCAAAAGGGGAGGCACAATAGGGAGGGGAGGGAGGAGGAGGAGGAGGAGGAGGAGAGGAGGAGGAGGAGGAGGAGGAGGAGAGGAGGAGGAGGGGAGGAAGAGGAGGAGGAGGAGCAGGAGCAGGAGGAGCAGGCCGAGGATTAGGAGGAGATAAGGAGCACGAGGAGGAGGAACAGGAGGAGGAGGGCGGAGGAGGAGGAGAGGAGGAGGAGGGAGGGGAGGAGGAGGAGGAGAGAATGATGATGATGAGATGAGGAGGAGGAGAGGAGGAGGAGGAGGAGGGAGGGAGAGGAGGAGGAGGAGGAGGAGAGGAGAAGAGAGGGAGGGAGGTAGGGAGGGAGGGACGGGACGGGACGGAAAGCGGAGAATGAGGAGGAGGATGTGGAAGAGGAGGAAGAGCACGAGGAGGAGGAAAAGGAGGAGAGTGAAAGGGATTATTGATCATTATGATATTAGTACGATCACGAATAATGATAAGAAGGACAAATAGCAACACTAGTACTATTAACAATCATTCTACTATTCAGGGGAATAGGAATAATAACAAGACGGATAACAACACTACGGGCAATAATAACAAGAAGAGGGAGGAAACGGGTCGCCAGGACAGCTGGGGCAGCTGCCGCAAGTGTTCCAAGATTTGGAGGTTGCGTGTTGCAGCACTCCATTTTCCTCACGCATTGTTTCGTGGCGACCCGCGCCATTTTGGCTGCGTCGCGGCTCCGCCGCTTCCCGCACACGTGCGTTCTGCTGCATCGGGGCCTCTCGGCTGCGGCCATCCTGTGAGTTGCAGCCTGCAAACGCTTTCGCCTCCTGGCGTTCATTATTTGACCGACGGTCTTTCGGGCCACCCTGGTACATCGCTCACGCCGACGTCCGGGGCTTCGCCTTTGCAATTCTCAATTCCACCTTGACCGACGGTTCTTTGGCTGCGGCCACCCTGGTGCTCACGCAGTTGTCCGGGGTTCGGGCTCATGCATGAATTCTACGGCTTCCGACCCTTGTCGTCGTTTATCCCGACTTCTGGTGCTTCCGACCCCCTGCATACTTGCACGATGGCAGTTCGACTCAGTCTCAGTCCCCCCTGCCACCCGCCCGCCGCTGGGCGCCGCGTGAGGCCTCGGCTAGCTGCGTTAGACGTGACCCGCCCCCGCTGCCTTCGCTTAATTCGTCGCTGCCGAGCCCGCTTTGACCAGAACCGCCGCCGGCGCGCTCGCCCGCGGCCGCTAACTAAAATATGCAGCGCTTCAGTTTTGTTGACTAGTTTTAGCTGTCAGAGACAAGATATATGTATATATATATACATATATCTATATCTGTATAGAGTTCTCGCCTGTTCCGCACTCTGGCTCAAGGCAAAACCATCTGCTGACCTCTCCTGCTGCTACAGTTGGTAGCTGAGCGGGGATTGCCAGGCGGCCATGTGCGTTGGCGCCGGCCGGTAGTCGGCGGCGACCCGCGCTTGCGCACCCGTGGCGAACCCCGCCCGACACCGCGTCGGCGGCGTGGGATCCACGGCAGCTGTCATGCCTGCGGGGACGGGGGCGGCAGCGACAGGCATGTTCGCCCATGGAGGCGACGGAGCAGCGGCGGCGGCTGGCGGTGGATCGGCAGCTGCGCAAGGCGCGGCCCCAGTGGGCGGCGCGGCAGCCGGTTCGGCCCTGGGCAGACCGGCCAGGCGCCGCAGCAATAGCAGTTCCGAAGAAGCCGCCTCCAAAATTGCCGCCAGGCTGCCAGCGCCCCCGAGACCGCATCCAGTGCTGCGGAAACCAGCGTGGATCAGGCGCCATGTGCGCCGGCGCGGCGGGCGCCTTGTCTGGGTGACCAAGTGCAGCCGCGACGCGACTGGGGAGGAGGCCCCCCGTGTCTGCGGCGGACGCGGCCCGGTCGGCCGGCCCAGTTTGCAGTGGTCATTTTTGGCGAACCCGAGTTCAGGGCCAGTGGCGCGGCCCTTGCGACCATCGACAACATGGGGTCGCTGATGCGGGCGCCGCGTTGGCAGCGGGCCCAGTATCCAGAGGGCATGAAATCCATCGGCCGGGCGCGGGAGGCGCTGGGATGGATGGCGAGTCGCGTCAACGCGACGCGAGAGGCGCCCGCGCAGACTCAGCGCACCGCGCGCACCCAGCACATGTTGGGAGCGATGGGGGACTTCGGCGGGAACCTGGGCCAGCTCTGGGAGGGCGTCGGTGCTGCAGCGGCTCAGTCAGCGCCAGTTGCGAGGGAAGCAGTCTTCGCCCCGCCCCCTCGCCTCAGGCTTGGCGCTGGGTCGAGCGGGGCTACCAGTCGCCAAGTTGCTCCAGGGACCTGGCCAGGGCCCCGGAGGTGGCGAGCTGGCTGGGCGGAGATCAGTTCAATGATGATCATGAAGTCGCCTCTGGCCGTCGTGTCCGAGAGGCTCTCAGCAAAGAGGTTCTAGAAGGTTTCTCGGATCGGCCAGGTGGTTCCTGGGAGCAGGATCGAGCCGAGAAGGCCGAGGTTTGGGCGTCAGAGCGGCAGAGGCCCCAGTCAGCCTTCATGGAGGTTTTGTCTCCCCCGAGAGTGGCCCCCGAGGCTCTTTGGGCCGGGGCTCCCTCGGGTGATGGGGCCAACCGGGGCGTCGGGGCTGGGCGGGGCGCAGCTCGAGGAAACGGGGTCCAGGGGTTGTGGCGGAGCGTCGAGGCCGATGACCCCGGGATCATTCGGCTCTCGCCCGAGTGTCCTGTCTTCTCGGTGATCAATCGGCTGAACCGCCGCAGGATCCATCCCGATATCTGGAAGAATGCGGTCGAGATCGGACTGCGAGACCTCGATCTATGCGTGGGGGTCGCCGTCCATCAGCTCCCTGGGGGCTGGTTCTTTGCGTTCAAGTATCCTCTCTGCGCTTCGTCCTGGGGAACACGGGCTGTGGGCGTGGTGTGGGCCCTTCCCGGGGTGAAGCGACCAAGAGTGGGCGCGTGCGCCCGGGCTGAATTTAGACGCGCCGGGGGAACCCAGAAGGCGGTTTTGAGATGGGTCCGCGACCAATTTCAGTGTTCGGAGTGCGCGGAGCGCGCGGGGGGCGGGCTCCGCCGGCGAGGTGCCATGTCCAGGACCTTCTGGTTAAATCATATCATGGGCGTCGACCTCTCTTATGCGGAGTTTCTCGGCTCCTCTCGCGGCTACCTGACGGTGGTCGATCACGTCTCCAATCTCCAAGTGTGCGCCAGGGTGCCCGACGCCAAATCCGCGACAGTCTGGTCCGTTTCCGCGTCCTTCTGGATGGGGCCCCGGGGGCTCTTCATTTTCTTTTGTCCGACGGAGGATCCGGGTTCCATGGGGGACTCGTTCGCGGGGTGGAGCGGCGGGGGATCATGCGCCGCGTGTGCGATGCGGATTCGCCCTGGCAGAACTGCAGGGCGGAGAGGCGCGGCGGATGGATCGAGGATCGTCTGAAGGCAGAAATCGAGTCAGGGGCAGTTCTCCCAGCCGTGCTGGGCGAGCTCGACTTGCTGGTGCATGAGCTTGTTGCTCGCAGATCGTCTCACGCACCGTGGAGGGTTCTCTCCTCTCCAACTCGTTTGCGGGGAGAACCCTCGTCTTCCGCGCGACATCTTGCCAGGTGACGGCATGGGGTTGCCCAGGGGGCAAGACGTCGTGCAGGCGCCAGCCGAGCAAGACGAGGCGGGGGCTGAGTTCGCTGGAGGCCACCGTATCAGGAGGCAGCCAAAGAGGGTCGCCCTAGAGGCGACGGCCAAGGATCATATCATCGGAGACACTGGGGCCAGGGCTCCCGCGACCAGGTCGCCCCGGGCCACTGAGTGTTCGCGCGGCGTCACGTGGCTCGCTCATCTGCTCGTTCCGACTCATGGCAGGCGCAGTGGCGGCTGGACAGGCCCAGGTGTTGTCGTCCTCCACGAGGCCAGCGCGGTGTGGGTGGCAGCCAGCAGAGCAAGGCTCTGGAAATGCTCCCCAGAGCAGGTCCGCCTGGCCAGCCAGGGGGCGCGGTCTCCAGGTGGCCCGGGACACGCAGCGGCAGGATTTGGTGCTCCAGGCCCGGACCCGCCGCGTGTCAGCAATTGACGCGCGGCGAGACGGGCCACCTCCGGGCGATGCCTGGGGCTGGGGGCTGGAGGTTCAGACGGATGCGGCCCCTCAGGTTCCGGGACCTCCCCCCCGCGGCTCGGCCCCGGAGCGGGCCAGGAAAACGGGGCCTCCCACCCCCGCGGAGCTTGGGTCTTCGTGGGCCTCTCGAGCCGGATTTGATTCGGCCCGGGCGGGCTCGGTGAGGACCAGGTTCCTTCCATCTAAGGAGGGCGGATCTGATGTCGCGAGTCGCTCCGGGGGAGGGGAGGGCGGGAGAAACGGGTTTCCCGCCCCCGCGTCTTTCTCCCCCCCTTGTCTTCCGCCTCCCTCGGCCCCTCTCCCGGCGACCGAGGCCAGAAAGGGCCCTCCTCCTTTTGCCCGCCCCCGTTGCGAGGTGCTTTAGTCCCCAGGGTTAGGTTTCGACGGCCCGGGGGCGCGCCGCGGTGCATCCGCGCGCGTGGCGCCAGCGCCCCGCCAGAGGCCAAGCGACTCAGAACCGAGAGTGCCGAGCCCCGAGCCCCCCCCCAGAGGAGGTCCGGCGTTGCCAGCCCGCCTCCCGACGGAGGCGGGTTCCTCGCCCTCGGGTCCAAGTCGCACTCCCGCGTCTCCGAGCCCCGAGTGTCATGGGTTAAGTGCGCCGAGGATGCTCGCAGCTCTGGGGTCAGAACCGCAGCGCTCGGTGGCGGACAGAGTTCGCGACCTGGCGAGCAGGACTGGGCGTGGTCGGTCCCGTTCTCCCTCCGGGCGATCCCGGCATCCCGGAGCAGCCGGGGGCGCGGGTGAGATCTGGGCGGTCGCAGGAGGGGCCCAGACGCCGATGACCACTCCCGTTGAGGAGCAGCGGAGCTCGACGGGAGGTGATAGCAGGGGCTTTCGCTGCTAGCAGGGGCGGGGAGGTGTCCCTGGGTCG